GAGGAGGAGGAGGAGGAGGAGGGGTGGTGATGGAGGAGGGAGGGGAGGGGAGAGCTGGTGGTGGTGGTGGAGGAAGGGGGGGAAGGGGAAGGGGAGGAGGGAGGTGGTGGTGGTGGTGGAGGGGGGAGAGGAGGAGGAGGTGGTGGTGGAGGAGGGAGGGGAGGAGGGGAGGTGGGGTGGAGGAGGAGAGGAGGAGGTGGGGTGGTGGAGGAGGGAGGGGAGGAGGAGGAGGTGGTGGGGAGGAGGAGGGGGGGAAGGGGAGGTGGTGGGGGGAAGTAGGTGGGTGGTGATTGGTTGAGGGAGGGGTGAGGAGGAGGAAGTGGTGTGGTGGTGGAGGAGGCGAAGGAGAAGAAGAAGAAGAAGAGAAGGAGGAGGAGTAGTAAGTAGTGGTGGTGGTGGATGGACACAGGGTGGTGGAGGAAGAGGAGGAAAGGGAAGAGGAAGAGGAGGCGGAAGAAGAAAAGAAGAGGACAGGAGGTAGTAGTGAGGAAGAGAGGAAGAAGAGAAGGAGGAGAAGAACAAAGGAGGAAGAGCAGGAGAACACATGGCAAAAAATAGGAGAGAACACGGGAGAAGGAGAAGAGGACACAAGGGAGGGACAGAAAGAAGAGAGAAGGAGGAGAGGAAGAAGGAAAGAAGGAGGAAGGGAAGAGGAGGATGGAATGAAAGTCGAAAGGAATAGGAGGAGAAGGAGGAGGAAGAGGAGAAGGAGGGGGGAGGAAGAAGAAGGAGGTAGGGAAGAGGAGGGGGGAATGAAGTGGAAAGGAAAGAGGAGGAGGAGAAGGAGGAGGAAACAGGAGAGGAAAGAGGAGGAGGAAGAGAAGGAGGGAAGGAAGAGGAGGGGGAATGAAGTGGAAAGGAAAGAGGAGGAAGAAGAAGAAGAAGGAGGGAATGAAAGTGGAAAGGAAAGAGGAGGAGGAAGAAGAGGAAGAGGAGAAGGAGAAAGAGGAAGGAGATCGACTGGGAGGATTGAGGGGGCGAAAGAGGAGTAAAGGGAATCCAACAAGGATGTCTTCTCTCCCTTTCTTTTGATCTCTTCGTGAAATTGCTCTTCGGGTTTCCGTCGCGCTGATATTCATTCACGGGTTCATCTTCGTCTCTTGCTTTTTGTTTACGTCTGAGCGAAATGTAAAGGGAGGTTCGGATGAGACCTCGGCGTGTGTGGTAGTGTGTGTGTGTGTGTGTATGTGTGTGTGTGTGTTGTGTGTGTTGTGTGTGTGTGTGTGTGTGTGTGTGTGGTAGTGTGTGGGTGTGTGTGTGTGTGTGTGTGTGTGGTGTGTTGTGTAGTTGTGTGTGTGTGTGTGTGTGTGTGTGTGTGTGTGTGTGTGTGTGTGTGTGTGTGCTGTGTGGTGTGTGTTTGTGTGTGTGTGTGTGTTGGTGTGTGGTGTAGTGTGTGTGTGGTGTGTGTGTGTGTGTGTAGTGTGTGTGCTGTGTGGGTAGTGGTGTGTGTGGTGCTGTGTGGTGTGTGTGTGTGTGTGTGTGTGGTTGTGTGTGTTGTGTGTGTGTGTGTGCTAATGTGCTGTGTGTGTGTGTGTGTGTGTGTTGTGTGTTGTGTGTGTGTGTGTGTGTGTGTGTGTGTGTGTGTGTGTGTGTGTGTGTGTGTGTGGTGTGTGGTGTGTGTGTGTGTGTGTGTGTGTGTGTGTGTGTGTGTTGTGTGTGTGTGTGTGTTATATAATATATATATATATATATATATATATATATATATATATATATTATATATATATACACATATATACACACACACACACACATTATATATGTATATTATGTATATATATATGTATATAAATATGCATATCCATATATACAAGAGCTCGAGCCTCCCGCAGCGAGCTGAAGGGGCGTCTGGGCGAGATCTGAGGGCGGGCGGCGGGACCCGAGGCGAAGGGAGCCAGGAATGCATAATGAAATGGCACCGCCCGAGGAAGCCACGCGAGCTATGCGGGCGCGGGCGTGGGGGCGTGTGGGCGGGCGGTGGGTTCGGCTGTGTGGGGAATGGGGGCGTGCGGAGCTTGGGGCGTGCGGGGGCGTGGGGGGCGTGGGGGCGGGCGCGTGCGGCGGGCGGTGGGGTTCGAGCTGTGTGGGGGATGGGACAACTGCGCCGCGGGAAATGGGCGGATGTGGGACTATCTTTATGGAGTACTTAATGGGATAAGATTATAAAATAAGAATAATTATATATAAACAAATAAAAATATAAAAAAGATTATAAAATTAGAAATAAGATTATAAAAAAAAATCTTAATGTTTTTTATTGATTAAAATCAAGAAGTAACTACATGAACAGTTATGTATAAAAAAAGGGTTAGGTTAGGTTAGGTTGGTTAGGTTGGTTGGGTTGGGTTTTGGGTTAGGTTAGGTTAGGTTAGGTTGGTTAGGTTAGGTTAGGTTTAGGTTAGTTAGGTTAGGTTGGGTTGGGTTGGGTTGGGTTGGGTTAGGTTGATCAGGTTAGGTTATGTTGGGTTGGTTAGTTAGTTAGGTTAGGTTAGGTTTTAGG